GAAAAGATAAGGGCAGCTGTGGTGGACAAGCTTCTAGGGAATGACCATTCTCAGCAACACAGGGGTGTTTGGTCATGGGTTTCAAGGTCCATCTAAATTAGGATCCTAGAATTTAAGCCTGGTCTCTGAGTGGGGAAGGAGTGCTCTCTGTTATACAATGAGATCCAAATCTAGTCAACAAAGTGAGGTTCAAGGAGAGAATGCAGCAGGCTGCTTAGACTAGTACTGAGTATGATGGGGGCAGAGTGGGATGAATTCCAGGTATCAGAGGGCAGAATTTCTGTCATATATGCATTTCTTTGCTCTTGGTTCCCCTTTTACTTTCTAAGAGAGTCCATTCCTTTTGCCTTCACCATTCTCCCTAACTGAGCAGTGCTATGTTTGGTCCTGACCATGTTTCATATTGTCCAGAGATCATCGTTGTGTGGATATTTCCTTTCAGTCAAGCACAGCACACCCAGAACTGATCCCAGTAATGAGCAACCTTCCCCTTCCATGTCACTGAAATTATACCTGCCCCTTACCAGGTACAGAAGCAGTGATAACAGGCTGGTGCTTTTCTGAGCCTTTTGTTGCTGTGCTTGGTGCTAAGTCAGTTTACCTTCTGTTCCTATAGTCCCTCTTAAAAGCTTGGGGATTAGTCCCCCTCCTCTCTTCTTAGGTGCCGCCCCATAATAGTAAAGCTGGCTACTATCACCAGCCCTGCAAAATGCAGGTGTCACCTCCCGGTGTCCTCCAACTTCTAATTTCATGAAACACCACACAAACCTTTTGGTTATTATAATAGGGAAAAAAAGTTACATTTTATTTTAAAGTGGGAGAATTGTAGAGTTTCAAAAAGTACAATCCTTGATGTTAGAGCTTAATTAGAGATAGACCTCATCTTATTTTTTTTATTCTATGTAACCATTGTCTCTAATAAGTAAGTATTCTTCTGTCTAGCTGGCATGGCTCAGTGGTTGAGCACCAACCTATGAACCAGTCAGGGCACATGCTCAGGTTGCAAGCTCAATCCCCAATGTGGAGCATGCAGGAGGTAGCTGATCAATGGTTCTCTCTCATCATTGATGTTTCTATTTTTCTTTCCCTCCCTTTTCTTCTCTGAAATAAATAAAAATGTATTTTAAATAAATAAATTATTATTTTTCTAAAGTGGATCTCTTTCTCTTATCTTTTCTATAGAATTATTATAGAAAAGATTTAAATTAGTACTAAAATCTGCTGCTATGTGTTTTTGTGTGTGTGTGTGTGTGTGTGTGTGTGTGCGCGCGCATATATTTTGGATCCAGAAGGAAATTTGGCAAAGTTGCCGAAAGCAGTTTGGCTCAGTGGTAGAGCGTTGGTCTGTGGACTGAAAGGTCCCATGGTCGATTCCGGTCAAGGGCATGTACCTTGGTTGCGGGCACATCCCCAGTAGGGAGTGTGCAAGAGGCAGCTGATTGATGATTTCCTCTCATCGATGTTTCTAACTCTCTGTCCCTCTCTCTTCCTCTCTGTAAGAAATCAACAAAATATATTTTTTAAAAAAGAAATTTGGCAAAGATTATCAAGAGAGTTGGACCCAGCAACTCCACTTCAATGAGATTCTTCTAAGAAAAGCACAAGGGATGTTCTCAAAGATTTGTAGCCAGGGTATTCATTTCAAAGTTACTTGTATTCATTACAAATGGAAACAAATTACATCTAAAAATAGAGGATTGCTTAAAGAAATTATTATAGCCAGGCAATAGAATGCATCAATTAAAAATCCTACCATTAAATCTACTTATGACATGAAAAATGCCCAGGATATGATGTTAAGAAACAAACAAACAACTTGAAACTGTTTTTATTATGGCCCCAGATTTATCCTTAAAGTGTGAGTGACTGTATGTGGTAAACAACACACACAAAAAAGTAAGTATAAATTAGCATTCCAGAATTTTGACTGCTTATCTGTCAGGAGGGATTATAAAAAATTTTTACATATTCTTTATAATTGTATGCATTTTTCAAATGTTCTAGAAACCTGTATTATCTTATTCATTCACTTATTCAATAAGCATGTAGTAACTGTGAGGTGCCAAGAACTCTGCTTTGTGCTGAGGAGATAAAGTAAACAAGAGAGGACAGACATGTTCCTTGCTCTGCTCGGAGTTTATAATCCTTTAAAATTAGGAGGAAACTTAAAAAAATAATAATTTCATTTGACCCAGTGGTTCCACTTCTGGGACTCTATCCTAAGAAAATTAAATAACAACAATAAAAAAATTATCATGCAGAAATGTATAGTAGTGTATTAATCATAATAGCAGAAAAATCTAGAAATCGCCTAAATACCCAACAGCAGAGGGATTCTTAAAGTAATGATAGCACATTCATATAATGGAATAATAGAAATCCATTATGTTTATGTTACTGAAGACGTTTTAATAACATGGGAAATGTTATTAATAGTTCCCATTAATATCAACAGAAAAAAAGCAAGCTATGAAATTATATGGAATCTGGCCTCAGTTACGTAGTGTAATAGTCATAAGAGAAATCCAAATGCTAACAAGTGCTAGTTTTGCATAAGGAAGTAGTGGTTGATTTGTATTTTTGTGTCTCATCGTTCTCCAGTTCTCTGCAGTGAATGAGGTTCAATTTTGTAATCTGAAAAAAAATCATCTTGCTTTCATTTTTTAAGGCTTGATTCAAAGATTATCTGTGAAAGATCCAAGGAACATACAAAAAGTAGCTTAGCATTTTCTCACAGCCGGCATTGCTTTGCTGGAGAAGGGAGAGAGCTCTCATGCAGAGGGCTTAAGGCCCTTCCTTTCTAAAACATTCTCGGGAGAGAAGGGATGACCACAAATACAGGGAGCTACATCCTCCCGAGGGCCTGAGGGGGTTGATTCGCTGTGTGCTCAGGAGGTGAGCAAGGAAAAACAGAAGAAACAATGGGAGGGGAGATAGTTGGGGGAGGAGACTTGGAGACACAACCCTGACACCTCATCCCTAACTCTACCTTGAACTCTAATCTTGAGCGTGTGTATCTGTACCTTAGGGACATGGAGACATTTCTGGATGCTGTAATTTCCCTCAGCTTTGGCACCAGAGACCCTCTGGCCTCACTGAGCAGGGGTCACGCAGGGTCAGGGTCCTTCTATGATTTGCCTAGATAAAACAGTGGCACTTGAGATGGCAGAGTCGAGGTAGCTCCATGCTCAGTCCACTGTGAAGACGTTGACTCTGACTTCTGCCCTGGCCTTCTAAGTCTCAAGGGAAAGAGCAGGGCTGCGGAACATGTCATTTCTATGGAAGTCAAAGCAGAAGAGCTATCCACGCTGCTCACACTGGTTGACAGGTTTCCTGAGCTCACACAAGGTCCCAACGCAGTAAAAATACCAACTTCCCCTCTAATTTAGGGAGCATCCAGAGAGTGTGTATAAGGTACCAGTTTTCACAGCTTCTATATGCGGTTATATATCATGCTATGGGTTTGCTAAGTTTCAGGAGGCTGCTTGAGGTACAGGAGTAAATTGGTGCCGAAAGATGTACAAGTATACCTCACTCCCAGCAAACGGAATATCTGAAAACCAGAGTGGCATAGAAGGTACATTCACAAAAGAATTCATTTCACTCCCACTTTGAGTAATTGGTTTCTCCTCCACATTTAAAATAACATTGTCTCGCCACAAACTGTGTTACACACAACATATCGAGCACGTAAGAGCTGCAGAGGGGGAGGGAGGGGTCTGTGGGACTTAGAAGGCAGCATTTGGACACCACCACAAAGGACACAGCCTTCTCTGATCTTAGAAGTGTTCATTCACTGTACAAGCCGGAGGGGAAAAACACACGAAACTTCAAATTGATTGCAAATGGTAAACAATCTTTATGCAAAAACGTTTAATAGTTTGGGAATTTTTTTTTAAAGTTTTTCTCCTAGTTCCTTCTTGGAGTTTCTCACATTCAATTATCTCAGCAAGGCCATCAAAGAACCTGTGGCAGGTGTTTTAAACCTACCTCCACACCTCCCGCAAACATTTAGCGCTGGCGCACACAGATACACACGGAGATACGCAGGACACCCACAACAAAAGTCAATACAAATAGATCGATTTTCCATCATGCCACCTGGGGGCCATGCATTCCAGAGCACCAGCCCCTGTAGTGGAAGATGCCAACCTTATCACGTTCTACCAGCTCCTGCATTCCTAACCTGTTGGCTGCAGGAAAGACAGAGTTCACAGCTGCCTGTGCCACGCACAGTTCTCTGTGGATACAGACAGGCTAGCAACACGGACCTCACGCGACAAGAGACATTTAGGAAAAAACTCCCGGGTAAGCTCCCTCTCCATGGAGTGCCTCAAGCACAGAGTGCTGCCTCTTCTTTCTGAGTGGGAACTGAATAGAGGAAGCTGAATTAGAATTCTAAGTATTTTTGATTCAGTGAAGTGCTCTTCACATTCAAATAACATTGGAAAGCTGAGCTGGGGAGAAGCAAGTTCCCGAATCTTCAGGAAAAAGTGACAAATGAGAAATTCTGGCAAGGCATACTTAAAACCGGAAGGCACCAGAGGCTGCACCCCCTTGATCCCTGAAGCAGGGGTATGCAGAGTGACAGACAGAAACACACCCGTTGGCCAAGCTTGGCTTTCAGGGCAAAAGAGAGGAGAAATAGATGGAAAGAAGCAAAGCAGGAATTGAAAGGAATGTGTCCATGAGATGAGTAGGGAAGGGATGAAGAAGAGAGGGCTAAATGAAGAGAAAAGGGAGTTTTGTGAAGAAAGGAGAGGGGACTGGAGATGGATGTAAGGGATGGGGAAGGAAAGAGGAAACTAGAGAAGAAAATGGTGAGATAAGGCAAAGTGCCCCCATCAACAACTGGCCGTCAGCAAAAATCCCAGCACAGGTGACCCTACACCTTGAACCCGGCACCACCCAGCCCCGCAGCCCCCCCCCCACCCCCCCATCGCAAAGCCATCGCCATCTGCGGACCCCCTTCCTCCCCTTTCCACGGAGGGCAAGCTCACCGGTCCAAGGCCACGGCCGTCATGGAGTAGATGCTGGCAAAGACCGAGGCGATGGGGAAGAAGTTGTGGAACTTGCAGTAGAACAGGCCGTAGTACCACTCGTTGTGGACGGCGTAGGTGAAGTTCACCACCGTGTTGAAGGCGGCCATGGAGGCCTCCGCGAAGGCCAGGTTCACCAGGAAGTAGTTGGTGACCGTCCTCATCCTCTTGTGGGCCAGGATGATCCACATCACCACCACGTTGCCCACCACGGAGGTCACCACGATGGCCGTGTAGGCGGCTGCCCAGAGGACGATCTGCCAGGTTGGCTGCACGAACTGGTTGGTCTCCGAGGTGTTGGTGGAGATGTTTGGGAAGAGGTCTGAGTCCATCGGGAGGACGTTATCCATCCCGTGGCCGAGTGCGGAAGATGTCCTCTCCTGGACACGCACCCCCTTGAGGCTAGCGCCAGGGGACAGGGTCCGGCTGAGCCCAGACGGGAAAGCTGCAGGCTCTCTCCTTGCAAGCAGGACACTTGGCGCTGCGAAGAGAGATGATGCTGGTGAGCTGTATGGCTGCCCCTGCTGGCCCTGAATGCCTCCACTTTCAAGCTTTGGGAAGCATCTGAGTTCGGCAATCTGGAGACAGCAGCGTGCCTTCTGCGCTGGGCTGGGAAGGGGAAAGCGATCCTGTGGGTCCTGGTGCCGCCGGGAAGCTGGAGATCCCGCCTTTCTGCACCTGCTGCTGCTTCCAACTCCTATCCCCCCTCCTGCCTGCAGTGGGGAAGGCAACGCTCTGAGCTTCGGGAGGACTTGGGGCTTCGAAGGTGGCCCCTCAACGTGCGACCCATAAAAGTTCTCAGTCTATATGGCTGGCATTCCGGAGCTCCGTGCACCGCTGGACATGTTCCCTTCGCTTTCGCGGCCGCCACCGCCGCCGCCACCACCACCTCCTGCAGCTTCGCCACCAGCACCTCCTGCAGCTTCGCAGGCTCTTCTTGGCTCCGGTCCTGCCGGGCTGGGGAGTTAGCAGAACCTCGGCTGGCTGCGCGCAAGGTTTTTATAGCCCGCTGCGGAGACGTCACCGGGAGGAGGCAGGACCGGGGCTGCGGACTCGCCAGTCCTCGTGCGCGGCGCCGCAGCTGCACCAGCTGTTGGCAGCGCCGCAGCCACCACGCCTTGTGCAGCTACCTGCTGGGGGAGTCTGCAAGCCCAGCGCCCCCCACGCTCCGCCAGGGGGCGCAAGGTGTCATCGGAGTAATTGCGCGCGGGAGGATGGGGGTGATGCCTGCAGCTGGAACCTAAGAGGAAAAGGAAGGATTTGCAAAAGAGCTGTTAATGACCCGCACTCAACTTCCAGGGAGTCTGCAAGCCGAGCGCCCCCCACGCTCCGCCAGGGGGCGCAAGGTGTCATCGGAGTAGTTGTGAGCGGGGTAATGGGGTGGGAGTGATGTCTGCAGCTGGAACCTAAGGGGAAAAGGAAGGATTTGCAAAAGAGCTGTTAATGACCCACACTCAACTTCCAGGGAGGGCAGCCCGGGGCGCTGGGACAGCTCTGCAGAGGCGCCTGTCTGTGGCTGCAAGTGTGGGGGCGAGCTGCCCGCGCTGAGCCCCCGGCCGCGCACCAGCCCGCGCGCCAGCCTGAGTGCCCCGCGCGCTGGCTCTGGCGGCTACGGAGATGCGAGAGGGGAGGATGCCTGGTTCCGGGTTTCTGAAGGAAATAACTTTCTGGAGGTCCCGCTTAGAAAACACCTTCAAAATACGAAGGTCCTTTCCCTGGCGGGCCGATTCTCCTGGGAAGCAGAGATCGGCTCTGAGTTTGGGCGCGCCCTCTCCAGCCTCCTGGGCAGCTCGCCCCTCGCTCCAGGAGCCACCCGCGCGCGGCGTCCCGCCCAGGAACGCGGCTCTGGGCTCTGCCAACACCCGCTGCGGCTCAGGCTCGGCGCCTGGGGACCCGGCAGCCTCAGCCTCCACGCTCCTGGGCCTGCAGACCACTGCGGGGACCTGGGCGGCCTGGGGAAGGGGTGAGGTTCTTCCCCCGCCCAGGTCTGCATAGGGGCGGAAGGGCAGGTCTGCCCGCCGTTTCTCCCCTCCCCGCAACCCCTGCACCCTTACCAGCCCTTCCTGGCGGGCTTCGCAGGAAGCCTGGTCTCCCAGTGCAAGGCCATTTCAAACGACAGAGCTGGCACTGGGCACTGGGCACTGGGAGGAGGTGGGAAAGGCTTGCCAGTGGGCGCGAACCGGGTTTGGAGAAGCCGAGATGGGCCGGGGTTTGGAGCGCGTTCCGGCCAGAGCCCTGCGCTTCCCCGGGGGGTTCTCTGCGGGACCGGCGCTGCGGGGCGCGGGCACCAGGCTCCGGTGGGGCCAAGCCCGCACTCTGGTTTAGGAACGAGTCCCGCCTGCTTGCGCGCGTCTCCACCGAGGGCGCACAGCACGCCTCGCCTGGGGAAGCTTTTTAAAGCTTAGAAATGTATTGCGGAGATTTGGGACTAAAATCGGATCCGCTCTTGGGGCGGGAAATCGGCTGGTTCCCTCTGGCTTTGTTGAAGCCTGGTATTACAACATTATAGGAAGTGTGTCTGACACTGCTCGCTTCTCCAAGCGCCTCTAACCCTGAGGAGAGACCCCCAGGGAGGCTTTGGAGAGAAGGCGCCCCCTTATGTAGGGGACGGCAAAGGGAACGCCGCCCCTGCCACACCCGGCCTTTCACAGGGAGAGGGTGCATGGCCTTGTCCGCCTTTACTGTTTCCTTCCAAGTTGTATAAAGCGGCTTTTCTCTCCCCCACCCCCACCCCCACCCCCCGTTCAGTGGGGGCACATTTTCTAAAGGAACATTACTCAATGCTTGGCCAGGGGGATTGGGGGGGGGGGGAAGAAAGTAAAGAAAACATAAACTTAAAAAAAAAAAGATTTATTCATTTACCCTCCATCAGTATAAGTTACTATCTTGACCCAGATGCTGTGCCGGTGATAGCCCCGCAAGCACTTACAATCTGGGAAGAAAAAGAGACCACGACACCACTACGCACAGCAATATGGAGGCCGGATAAAAAGAAGTTAGGGAAATTCCCTGGCAAGTGGAATGAGGGAAACTGAAACAAAATCGTTCAACAAGGCAGAGAAATTGACAACCTGCTAATAAATTTCAAGATCTTATCTTCCCTAGATAAGCAAGATCCTACCTTCCTTAGGGAAGTAAATGTTTATATCTGTTCTCCTCAATCAGAGCTTGAGTAACTTAAATCACCCTGGTCAGGGAGAGAGATAACAGAGAGCCAGGTAATGCCATTAGTCCCAGCCAAGTCCCAGAATGGATGAGGTCCAGGGAATAAACAACAAAAACCCGGTTATAGCAGACAAATCCAAGATAAAAGTAAAACAGCGAGGCTGACCAGAGAATGATCTCAAACTCCTTTTGAAGCATCAGCACATTAAAGGACACATCTGGAAAGCTATTGAGTATTCTATTGAGACCTTCCCTGGAGACTCCCCTGAAACTCCCACCTTTAGAAAACAGATAAGAACCCTTAAGGCAAAGAATCCAGTGCATACTCTCTTTTGAGCACACCCCATGCCCCTCCTCTCCTTAGGCGCATACTTGAACTTTCTCCTGAGCTCCAAAGGTCCTCATAAGACTTGCAACTAGGGGCGCAGTGGGTAACAGCAGCTTGTCCTGGACTAACCCTCTGAATCTGTCTCTAAAGACTCTCCTTTTGCCTCTGTAGCTTGTTTCCTGAATCCACACAGCCCAGTGTGCCTCACTTGTTACTCTGATTTCCATTCTTGAATCTAGGAAACCCAGTCTAGGCTCACTCCTATTATCTCGCCTCTTCTGCCCTAAGCCCTTTGTCTCACTGCCCCCAGCTTTAATAAATGTACTCTCAAAACCATCTGGACTCATGTTGTGAAATCTATTTCTACATGGAGCCAAGAACCCACACATTTCAGACTGTGCTGGGCCAAACCCTCTCCCCCCCTCAGCCCCACTTCCTTTATGGTAGTAATATGATGAGTAAAGGTTCTAGGCTCTGCATAAGAGGAGAAGATGGGGGAGGGGGTACCTAACCTTGATAATGAAGGGAATCAGGGAGGAGGGCAGAAAACTGTGTCTGTGGAGAAGCCTGGAGAATGTGTTAAAGCTGAGGGTGAAAAGGAGAATATTCCAGATAGATGTTTTAGATGCAAAACCATGTCACTCTGCTTAACACCTCAGGGACTGCCCAGCTCATGTAGAAAGATGCCAACATTTCTTACTGTGGCCTTCACCAGTCCACCCCCTCCACCCTGGCATGTGGATGAGCTAGCCTGGGTGACTCTCCTCCCTGCTCCTGGTTCTCCATGGCAAGCATCCATATCTTAAAAATATGTATGATTAGCTAGAATTAATTTCTTACACACACACACCAAGGCATGATGGGTTCACATAAAGAAAAAAAGCCTCCGTCAAACAGTAGCAGAAGGTATCCCTTAGTTTAGACACATACTCTGAGGGGAAACCTTCTCTAGCATTGCTCCTTAGATAAGATACTATATGAGACTTTTTTCCACCACTAAATAATGTTTTTTCCCATATCCTTCCTACTGACCTCCCTCCTTGCAACATAACACAGGCCCACCAGTCTCAAAGGAAACCCTGATGAGACTTTTCTAATTTGTTCAGGCTCTTTCATACCTTATAGAAGAAAAGCAAGCACACACAATATCCATGCATGCAAGTGTATTCAAATATAGGACTTTTGCTATTGTCTGAATGTTGTTTTTCTCACTCCAAACATTTTCTGGATGCTTCAGGGTCAACAGATAGATATTTAACTCATCCTATATAACAAAAGTCTAATATGCAAATTATCTCCTCAACCAGGAATTTAACCAGGAGTTTGAGCAGGGGCTGGGGCTGGCCAGCCAACCACCCAAGACTCCTCCCCTTGGCCTGCCCTGCCCCAGCTAGCAACTGGCAGCTGTTAGGGACCTACCGGTGCATGAATTTTGTGCCCTGGGCTCTAGTTGTTTTATATTCTTATGTTATGAGTGCACCATACACTCCATTCCCTAATCATGAAAATCACTTTGCTTTCAGTTTTTGCTACTAAAGACAATGCTACAATAAGCATCTTTGTATGTGTTCCACAGTCTGATGTTTTGTATATATGGGATAGATTTCAAATGGAATTGCTAGGTAATTAATCATATTTATATTTATATTTATATTTGTTTATTTATATTTATGTTCACATATATGTGTTGTATATTTCCATTTTTATTTAATGTTGCCAGTTTGCCTCTCAAAAGGATATAACATAGCTACATTTCACTAGGTATTAAATTACCCCTTCTCCCCATATCTACTCCAGTAATAAGTATTAAAAGTCTTCTTAGTTTTGTCAGTCTAAAATATGTAAAGTATGTTAACA